TTTTCAGTTCCATCGTCAAGAGGAAGCCGTTGCCGAAGTTAGTATACCACCTGCTGTCCAGTCAGGAGCTGAAGAAGAGGCTGCGAGAGCTGCACCTCTCTACCCAGGGCCCCCGGGTGCAGCTGGAGCGGAGGCACCAGGAGTTTGTGCACATATACAACTCCCAGTGTGACTCCCTGAGCCCACAGTCAGGTAACAGCCAGTGTCACCATGCTGCAAGCAGACCAGTGTGCCTCATCCATTTTAATAACTTACCATTAAACATTTGCCATTATCATTTCACCAAGTGTTTTTTGTTGGTCAGATCTGCTTTTCCTGCATTTCTAAGCTGTAGAAAAACTGAGACAAATTCCAAAAATCAAGTTTTGGGTTTTTTAATCAGGCATTTTTTGGGGTAGTTTAGTGTAGGCTTGGTGTGTCCCCATGTCTGAAAGGGAAAGCCATGTAGCTGCAATATTACAAAAGTTACAGGTCAGATGCAAACACTAATATTTATTTATTTAGCTATCCCTGGTGTAGGAAAGGTACAATATCTCAACAGGAATTAAAAAAAAAAAAACACTTCTGAGCAGAATGTGTAATTCACACGCCAAATTTCATATTCAAAAATGATGGTGCCAAAGTCATTTGAGTTAAAATGGAATGACTCAATTTAAAGCTCTGTTAGGACTCGGCAGTCACAGAAATTAAATATGTATTTTGCGTTGTTTGCAAGTGCTATCCTGGGTATATTTATAAAACAAACTTGTATCTGACCCATGTTTCTTCAGAACTGTTCCTGTACCAAACATGCAAGTCTTTCCTAAAATCCAACCGTCATCTTTGACATTACAAACATGCATTTTTAACACTGCAGGCTTCTTAAGATTCTCTCCATGTAAAATGCAGAATCGTATATCAATGTGGCCAGTGACGTCACTGTTAACGCCTTTGCTTGGCACGCTTTGTCATATGTGGTGATGCCACACTACCTGCAGGAACGCGGGCATTTTGGGGCTCTGTAATGTGCGTCCTGAGTGGCCAAAGGCAAGAGAGGAAAGACAAATCCCTGCTACAGAAAGGAGGAGGAATTGCTGGGGCTGCCCGTGAAGGACGCCAAGCACTTAGCGTAACACTCTGCTTAACACTGATGGGTGTAGATGCCAAAGACTGCATGCAGTACAAGTATCCGCTGGGTTTTGGGGAACTATGATTCTAAGAAGAGATTTTTCTGTACTCTGAGGAGGTACACTGCTGCTTTTACACTAACCTGTTTTG